AAAGTCCACACCTCCAGGCGGAGGGGTGATGCGCTCCGAGGGAGGCCGAAAATGAGCTCTCATCTGTGGGTGCGGGTCCCGCGGGGGTCCCGCCGGAGCTCCGCACCTCCATCGGGGTACCAGGGGCGCGGAGAAAAATCATTAAAAAATGACAAAGTCCACACCTCCAGGCGGAGGGGTGATGCGCTCCGAGGGAGGCCGAAAATGAGCTCTCATCTGTGGGCGCGGGTCCCGCGGGGGTCCCGCCGGAGCTCCGCACCTCCATCGGGGTACCAGGGGCGCGGAGAAAAATCATTAAAAAATGACAAAGTCCACACCTCCAGGCGGGGGGGTGATGCGCTCCGAGGGAGGCCGAAAATGAGCTCTCATCTGTGGGTGCGGGTCCCGCGGGGGTCCCGCCGGAGCTCCGCACCTCCATCGGGGTACCAGGGGCGCGGAGAAAAATCATTAAAAAATGACAAAGTCCACACCTGCAGGCGGGGGGGTGATGCGCTCCGAGGGAGGCCGAAAATGAGCTCTCATCTGTGGGCGCGGGTCCCGCGGGGGTCCCGCCGGAGCTCCGCACCTCCATCGGGGTACCAGGGGCGCGGAGAAAAATCATTAAAAAATGACAAAGTCCACACCTCCAGGCGAGTGAAATTTTGACAAAGTTTTTTTACCAGTAAACCCTGCCCAAAGCCCTAGAGGTCTAGGGCTTTGGCCATTTTGCAGGGTTTTCCCGTTTCAAGGAGTTTACCCCTGTTTCACAAGCTACCATCGGCATGATTTCAGAAACCCAGTTTTTGAGAGGAAAAAGGTGCCGATCGAAAATTCTTCTAAGTCCACACCTCCAGGGTTGTTTTAGAGGGAACTTCCCCGCGATTGAGGTGCCCCGGCTGGGCAGAGTGCAGAGGCTCGCACCTCGCAGAGAAAATCTGTTTTAAAAAATAAAAAAAATGACAAAGTCCACACCTCCAGGCTGAGGGGTGATGCGCTCCGAGGGAGGCCGAAAATGAGCTCTCATCTGTGGGCGCGGGTCCCGCGGGGGTCCCGCCGGAGCTCCGCACCTCCATCGGGGTACCAGGGGCGCGGAGAAAAATCATTAAAAAATGACAAAGTCCACACCTCCAGGCGGGGGGGTGATGCGCTCCGAGGGAGGCCGAAAATGAGCTCTCATCTGTGGGTGCGGGTCCCGCGGGGGTCCCGCCGGAGCTCCGCACCTCCATCGGGGTACCAGGGGCGCGGAGAAAAATCATTAAAAAATGACAAAGTCCACACCTCCAGGCGGAGGGGTGATGCGCTCCGAGGGAGGCCGAAAATGAGCTCTCATCTGTGGGTGCGGGTCCCGCGGGGGTCCCGCCGGAGCTCCACACCTCCATCGGGGTACCAGGGGCGCGGAGAAAAATCATTAAAAAATGACAAAGTCCACACCTCCAGGCGGGGGGGTGATGCGCTCCGAGGGAGGCCGAAAATGAGCTCTCATCTGTGGGTGCGGGTCCCGCGGGGGTCCCGCCGGAGCTCCGCACCTCGCGGAGAAAAATGACAAAGTCCACACCTCCAGGTGGAGGTGCTAAACAGTGTACCAGGACCACGGAGAGCTAAACAGTGTACCAGGACCACGGACAGCTAAACGGAGTACCAGGACCACGGAGAGCTAAACAGTGTACCAGGACCACGGACAGCTAAACGGAGTACCAGGACCACGGAGAGCTAAACAGTGTACCAGGACCACGGACAGCTAAACGGAGTACCAGGACCACGGAGAGCTAAGCAGAGTACCAGGACCACGGAGAGCTAAACGGTGTACCAGGACCACGGGACACTGTCGCGAGCGTTTGTCTGTTTGCAGCTGGGTGGGTGGGTGCTTAAGAGTGGGTACGCAGGTTCGGCTGGTGCGCCGGGTTCTGGAGGAGGGTTCCAGGACCGTCCTCAGCTGGGTGTTCCCGCCCCGGAGACTGAAGCCTTCCCTGGGTAGACATCCAGGGAAGCAGCCCCCTCTCCAGCTGGATGTGTGTGGCCCAGATGATGGAGCCCTGGCTGGGTAGACATCCAGGGAAGCAGCCCCCTCTCCAGCTGGATGTGTGTGGCCCAGATCATGGAGCCCTGGCTGGGCAGACATCCAGGGAAGCAGCCCCCTCTCCAGCTGGATGTGTGTGGCCCAGATCATGGAGCCCTGGCTGGGCAGACATCCAGGGAAGCAGCCCCCTCTCCAGCTGGATGTGTGTGGCCCAGATCATGGAGCCCTGGCTGGGCAGACATCCAGGGAAGCAGCCCCCTCTCCAGCTGGATGTGTGTGGCCCAGATCATGGAGCCCTGGCTGGGCAGACATCCAGGGAAGCAGCCCCCTCTCCAGCTGGATGTGTGTGGCCCAGATCATGGAGCCCTGGCTGGGTAGACATCCAGGGAAGCAGCCCCCTCTCCAGCTGGATGTGTGTGGCCCAGATCATGGAGCCCTGGCTGGGCAGACATCCAGGGAAGCAGCCCCCTCTCCAGCTGGATGTGTGTGGCCCAGATGATGGAGCCCTGGCTGCGTAGACATCCAGGGAAGCAGCCCCCTCTCCAGCTGGATGTGTGTGGCCCAGATCATGGAGCCCTGGCTGCGTAGACATCCAGGGAAGCAGCCCCCTCTCCAGCTGGATGTGTGTGGCCCAGATCATGGAGCCCTGGCTGGGCAGACATCCAGGGAAGCAGCCCCCTCTCCAGCTGGATGTGTGTGGCCCAGATGATGGAGCCCTGGCTGGGTAGACATCCAGGGAAGCAGCCCCCTCTCCAGCTGGATGTGTGTGGCCCAGATCATGGAGCCCTGGCTGGGTAGACATCCAGGGAAGCAGCCCCCTCTCCAGCTGGATGTGTGTGGCCCAGATGATGGAGCCCTGGCTGGGTAGACATCCAGGGAAGCAGCCCCCTCTCCAGCTGGATGTGTGTGGCCCAGATCATGGAGCCCTGGCTGGGTAGACATCCAGGGAAGCAGCCCCCTCTCCCGCTGGATGTCTGTGGCCAAGATCATGGAGCCCTGGCTGGGTAGACATCCAGGGAAGCAGCCCCCTCTCCCGCTGGATGTGTGTGGCCCAGATGATGGAGCCCTGGCTGGGCAGGCATCCAGGGAAGCAGCCCCCTCTCCCGCTGGATGTGTGTGGCCCAGATGATGGAGCCCTGGCTGGGCAGGCATCCAGGGAAGCAGCCCCCTCCCCAGCTGCGGACCCAGCGAAACAACGAGAAAATGGGGTTGAAAATGATCACCATGACAAGCAAAATGATTTTTTCTAAAAAGGCAGAATGAAGCTACGCTGGAGCCGAGAGGAGCCTGTGATCGAGGGTATTTATGTGAATTTTTTCCATTTGTCACATTGATATCATCTCCTCGTCTTGTATTTTATTTTTATTATTTTACGTTGAATTTTTTCTCATTTTGAGGCCGAAAAAATGACAAAGTGTTTTCACCGATAAACCCTGCGAAGCCCTAGACCTCTAGGGCTTTGCAGGGTTTACTGGTAAAAACACTTTGTCAAAATTTCACTCGCTCGAAAAAATGACAAAGTCTTTTCACCGATAAACCCTGCGAAGCCCTAGACCTCTAGGGCTTTGCAGGGTTTACTGGTAAAAACACTTTGTCAAAATTTCACTCGCTCGAAAAAATGACAAAGTCTTTTCACCGATAAACCCTGCGAAGCCCTAGACCTCTAGGGCTTTGAGAGTTTTCCCGTTTCAAGGAGTTTACCCCTGATTCACAAGCTACCATCGGCACGATTTCAGAAACCCAGTTTTTGAGAGGAAAAAAGTCACAAGCGAAAATTTTTCTAAGTCCACACCTCCAGGGCCGTTTTAGAGGGAACTTCCCCGCGATCGAGGTGCCCCGGCTGGGCAGAGTGCAGAGGCTGTGGGGCCTCCGGGCTACCAGGACCGTTAACA